TCCTAAACTGTATTTGCTATTCAAAGAGGATTCCAAGTATTTAAAACTTAAGCCTCAATACATCTTCAATAAACCTAACAGTAGTTCCCTAGCTTTTTACTTGCTCACTATAGCATTTCTGTGGCCACTGACTTAAGAAAAACAAGTCAGGAACTTCTTATTTAAAACAATACTGGAAAAGACTCTCCCAGAATTATACCATGGCCCCTATATCACAATGTACTACTATATAAATTTTATTTTTGTTTGTTTTTTGTTTCCAAAACAAGTTTTCTCTGTGTAGCCCTAGTGTCCTGGAACTCATTCTGTAGAACAGATCAGCCTCAAACTCAGAAATCCACCTGCCTCTGCCCCTCCTCCGCTGACCCCAACATCCTTGTCCATGACTGCAGACAGACATTTCTTCTTCTCATTTTCACAGGGTTTATTGAGGAAATATCTGGGGAAACATTCTTTTGTGGAGCTGGTGAAAGAGCAAGAGATGGGCTGTGGTAGTAGTGCTCCTTCGGTCTCTCTAGACATGAGAGAGCGCTGTTTCTTCTGCTGCTGATCTTAAAGGTCTTGCTAAAATGCCTTGGCTCAGAAAATTGTGCTGGAGTAATGATTTTAGAATTTAAGTTCATCTGAATTTTCACTCTACAAACAATGAAGCTGAGTTAGCCCTGAGCTAGAAATACTATGTATAGTTCGGTTTGGGCAGATTTATAAAGAGTCTGTTTGGGACTGGAGAAATGGCACAGTGGTTAGAGCACTATCTGTTCTTTCAGAGGACTGGGGTTCAGTTCCCTGAACCAGTGTGGCAGCTTACAACTGTCTGGAAATTCTCGTTTGAGAGGATCCAACTCTGTCTTCTGATTTCCATGGGCATTGCACCCCTGTTGTGTACATACATATATGCAGGCACACACTCATACACATAAAATAAACAAGAAACCATCACAGAAGTTTACTTGGCGTGCTAGTTTGTTTTTTTTTTTTTTTTGGTTTGTTTGTTGGTTGTTTGGTTGGTTAGTTGGTTTTTTGAGACAGGATTTCTCTGTGGAACAGTCCTAGCTATCCTGGAACTTACTCTGTAGACCAGTCTGGCCTTGAACTCAGAGATCTACCTCCTCTGCCTCTGCCTCCCAAGTGCTGAGATTAAAGGGGTGCACCACCACTACCTGGCCTGTGCTGGATAGTTTTATGTCAAGTTGGCACAAGCTAAAGCCATCTGAGAGGAGGGAACCTCAATTAGGAAAATACCCCCATAGGATGTAGGGCATTTTCTTAATAGGTGATTGATGGGCCCAGCCCATTGTGGGTGGTGCCATCCCTGGGCTGGTGGTCCTGGGTTCTCTATCTAAGCAGGTGAGTAAGCCATGAGGAGCAAGCCAGTAAGCAGCCCTCCTCCATGGCCTGTGCATCAGCTCCTGCCTCTAGTTCCTGCCCTGTGTGATTGCTGCCTTCATTGCTTTTGATGATGAACTGTTATATGGAATCCTGAGTGAAGTAAACCCCTTCCTCTTCACGTTGCTTTTGGTCATGGTGTTTCATCACCACAATAGTAACCTTAACGAAAACACTTGAGCATAAAATACTTCCTTTAGCCGGGCAGTGGTGGCGCATGCCTTTAATCCCAGCACTCGGGAGGCAGAGCCAGGCGGATCTCTGTGAGTTCGAGGCCAGCCTGGGCTACCAAGTGAGTCCCAGGAAAGGCGCAAAGCTACACAGAGAAACCCTGTCTCGAAAAAACAAAACAAAACAAAACAAAAAAACAAAAAAAAAAATCCTTTTACCCTACAAATCCCATCTTTAATATTATTGTTCATAAAAATATACTTATTTTACTTATTGATTTTATGAGGAATTAAACCCTTAATACCTTGTGCTTTAGGACTGAGTTTTATTTTAAATTTTGTGTGTTGTATTTGTGTATGTTTTGTGGATATGTGCACGCAGGTGCGTGAGCTCAGGTCCTCATGCAGCAGGCAGTTTACTGACTAAGCCATAGCCTCAGTGCAGGAACCAGTTTTATTTGAGCAGGCAGTTTGTTTTGTTCTGTTTTTGAGACAGGGTCTTGAATAGCCCATACTGGCCTTGGGCTCTTAATCCCCCTGCCTCTACCTCCCAAGTGCTGTAATTACAGGTGTGCCATCATGCTCAGCCAAGCAGTTAATTTTTATTATTAATAATATTGGGCTAAAATAGCTGGGCAGTGGTAGCACACACCTTTAATCCCAGCACTTGGGAGGCAGAGGCAAGCGGATCTCTGAGTTCGAGGCCAGGCTGGGCTACAGATTGAGTTCCAGGAAAGGCGCCAAAGCTACACGGAGAAACCCTATCTGAAAAAACCAATATACATATATATATGGCTAAAGTAATAGCAGACTCAGATTTTGTTTTGCAAGTATATTCCTTGAAAAATAAAGATGCATGCAGATTGCTGATGTGGTAAGGCTTCTGCTGGAAGAACTTAGGATTTGATCTGTCTGATCTTTCATAACTGAAATCTTAGTTTCCATATGAAAGGTAGAGAGCACTAACATCTGGGTATGGACTTACCCAGCCAGATGTGCCTGAATACCAAAAGAATAAACTAAATTTATCTGTAGGCTGTAGGAATTTCACTTAAGTGTAATTAGACTCAGCAGAGTTTTGATATGGAAGTAAGGGTTGTGGGAAGTGTGTGAGAAGGCAAGAAAGTTATTTTATTTTTTTCTTCTTAGTTTTATAAAATTGAGGAAGAATTGAACAACAAAAGCAAAACTAAACTAAACTTAGGTGGCTTCTTTCCAAACTGGCTGGAGGACTTGGCTGTTAATAGCTGTGCCTTATGTATCTCTTTTAATATTTCTGACTAAAAAGGAGGGCCACAACTGAGCCTTTACTCTGTTGTCAAGGGCCTGAAGAAAATGGATGATTTCTATTTCCATTCCTCCAGTGTGGTAGGCAAGTTTTTCTTTTCTTTTTCTCTCCCCTCCAGGAGTGGATTGTTCTTAAAGCAGGGGTATTTTAATGGTATTTAGTTATTAAACATGACATTTTATATTATTTCTTGTTTGTTAGAAATGATTACTATCTCAGCACACTATAGGCTTAGCGCTATCTATATTCTTTCTCCCTTCTTATAATTCCGTCCAGGGCTCACTGTGGTTAGCACATATTCAGAACTGTGGTTGTCAAAAGAGTATAAAAGGTTTGAAATGGAGAGGTTCCCTCTCGGTTTTCAGGACTGAAGTATGTGTTAATCTGTATGACCGTGCTTTTAGTTCATTCGTGTACAAATGCACTATACAGCAATAATTGCAATCAATTTTATAACAATTTGATCACTATGAAAAGGAACCATGGCCAGGTAGTGGCGCACGCCTTTAATCCCAGCACTCCGAAGGCAGAGCCAGGTGGATCTCTGTGAGTTTGAGGCCAGCCTGGTCTACAGAGTGAGTTCCAGGACAGGCACTAAAACTACACAGTGAAACCTTGTCTCAAAAACAAAACAAAACAAAACAGAAAAGGAACCATGGACTTACTACCAGCCATATTCCATTTACCTCCCAATGCCTCTTGTCCAGCCTAAGGCAACTGCTGACCTCCTGTTTCAACTCATTGTCCATATAAATGGACTTATATAATAGATGGCCTTTTGTGTCTGCCCCTTATCACTTAGCATAGCATAATGTTTTGAAGGTTCATCCATGTTGTTGCATACATCAGTAAGTAATTACTCTTTATTCCCAAAATGTGTTTATTTATTTTATGTGTCTGGGTGTTTTGTTTGCATGCTTGTCAGTGCACCATGTGTACCTGGTGCTTGGGGAGGCTAGAAGAGGGCATCAGATTCCTATGGGACTGCAGTTACAGACAGTTGTAAGCCACTATGTGGGTGCTGGGAACTGAACCCAGGTCCTCTGGAAGAACAGCCATTGCTCTTAACTGCTGAATCATCTCTCCAGCCTCCAAAATCTAATTTTTAAGATTATTTGGATCAAGTTATCGTGATGCACACTTGTAATCTCAGCACTTAGGAGGCCAAAGCAGAAGGGTCTTGAGTTTAAGACTATGCAGAGTGAATCTATATTTAAAAAAAAAAAAAAGGATTCATTTAGGTTTTTTTTTCTTCCTTTAACTGCTCTTCCCCTTTTCAATGTTAAATAATCCCAGGTTGGAGAAACGGCTCAGTAGTTAAGAGCATTGCTTGCTCTTGCAGAAGACCCAGGTTCTATTCCCAGGAACCATATGGAGGTTTTCAAATGTTTGTAACACCAGTTCCAGGATGTCCAACACCCTGCTTCTGGTGCACATACACACAAGCAAGCAAACACTTAACACATAACATTAAATAAATCTTAACAACAACAACAACAAAAAAGGTTAAATAACCCCCAAAGTCCCTAGTTTGATTTCAAAAAGTAAGCTAGGTCATTTCTGTAAGCTGTAAAGTAGTAATCTACATGTCCAAGAGCATTTGACAGTTGATAGTTTTGCAAGAGAAGAGATTTGAGGACTTTTTAAAATGTTTTCAGAAATTGTGATCTTAGCTATGCTGTGGTAAGTCCAGTTAAATAGGACTGTCATTATGACCCAAAATATTGGTCCATTTCAATAGACTTGTTTTGAGACAGGGTTTCTCTGCATAGCCCTGGCTGTTCCTGGAACTCGCTCTGTAGACTAGGCTGGCCTTGAACTCACGGATATCCACCTGCCTCTGCCTCCTAAGTGCTGATATTAAAGGTGTGTAGCACCATCACTTAGCCATTTCAATAGACTTTTATCAGTGATATTTTTACATGTAAAAAGCTTAGGTCATTTCTATGTTCTCTGTAGTAATTATTCACTAAGAAATACCAATGTATTATTAGAAATAGAAGATTTTAAGTCTTCCTATTACCTAGAGGCTATAGGCATCAAATGTGTGAAGGAAATTCTGTTATTATCTACAGTTTATCTAGATATCCAAGAAGACTTACATGCACTGTACTAATGTTCTCTTTCTGTTATTTTTGAACATGTGACTTCTTCAGGATCCTTCAAAGAGCAGTACGTGCAAAAGGTTAGTACCTTCCCATGAAGTTCCTTACACTCTACATAATGTTTGGCAAGAGGTTCTTTTTAATGTAAGTTTGGGGCTGGGGAGATGGCTCAGCAGCGAAGAGCACTGGCTGTTTTTCTAGAGGACCTGGGTTTGAGTCCCAGCACCTACATGGTGGCTCACAACCTTCTCTAACTCCAGCTCAGGGGGTGGGGTGGGATCTGATGCCCTCTTCTGGCCTCTGGACATTAGGCATGCACATTATACAGACAGATATGTAGGCAAAATATCTATATGCATAAAATTTAAAAAGAAAAACCAAAGCAAAGAATTTCTATGCAGATACAGGCAGCAGTACTTCATTTTGGGGAGGGAAGGATATTAAGTATTTTAAAAAATAGGATGTGAAGTTGGGAAGGAGACAGGGTGGAAACTCTGAGCGGTGGTCCTCCATCTCCTAACGCTGCGACCCTCTAGTACAGCTCCTCATGCTGTGGTGACCGCACCATACAGTTATTTTTTATTTTTTACTTTTGGTTTTACGAGACAGGGTTTCTCTGTAGCTTTGGAGCCTGTCCTGCTAGCTCTGTAGACCAGGCTGGCCTCGAACTCACAGAGATCCGCCTGCCTCTGCCTCCCGAGTGCTGGGATTACAGGCGTGCACCACCACTGCCCGGCTTCCAAACAGTTATTTTTGTTGCTACTTCAAAACTGTAATTTTCCTGCTGTTGTGAAACATCATGTAAATATCTGTCTTCTGATGGTCTTAAGTGACCCCTGTGAAAGGGTCATTCAACCCCCAAAGGGGTTGCAACTGACAGTGGAGAACCATTGCCCTTGAGAGTTGGAGGGGATAGTAATGGAAGGACATCACCAAAATACAACATATGAATGTATGAAGTTTTCAAAGATCAATGTTGTTTTTAAAGATTTATTATACAAAATACATAAAGGATCTTGCAAATAAAGTTTTAAAAATATCCCAATAGAATATGCAAAAAGATTTGCATTTAAATACTTTACTCAGAGTTGGGGATTTAGTTCAGTGGTAGAGCACTTGCCTAGCAAGCGTAAGGCCCTGGGTTCAGTCCTCAGCTCCCCCCCCAATAAATAAATAAATAAATAAGTGAATAAATAAATACTTTACACAAATAGAGGCATGTGGGAAAAGGTTTGGTGTCATATCACTAAAATCTATTTCACACCTAGTATGTGGGCAAAAACTAGAGTTCCTACACACAAGAAGACTTGCTTATTAGGAAGGGAGTTACCAAGACTCTTAATCCATCTTCTGGGAGCATTCGCTTTGAGAACATTTTGGCAGTGTCTAGTAAATAACTTTTGACCTAACAGCTCCATTCCTACGGAAGCTACAATAGAAACATGTCACAAATCAGAGCACAGTGTGCTTGCTGTATAGTCCCAGCTACTGGGAGGATTGTTTGACCCAGGAGTTTTGAGACCAACCTTGGCAACATAGTAAGACTATCATCCAAAAGAAAGGTACACGGAAATAGATACGTGAATATTTATAGCTGGGGCTGGAGAGATGGCTCAATGGTAAAGAGCATTGTCTGCTCTTGGAGAGGACCCAGGTTTGGTTCCAGCACCCTCATGGCAGTTCACTATCAGCTCTATAACTCCAGTACTGGGGGATCTGACACCTTCCCAAGAAAGGAGACGGGGCCCAGAACCAGGGCAAGAAAGGGGAAGGGTCTCCCAACCAGAGCACAAAAGCTGAGGGTATACAAAACCAGGGCAAAAAAGCAGAAGGAACCCCAAACCAAGGCAAGAAGATGTTTGACTTTGAGAGTGCCAGGAACTCATGTGGTGCACATACATGTAATCAGTCAAAACACCCATACACATAAACTAAATCAATTATAAAAAATTAAAAAAAGTCAGGTGTGGTGACACACACCTTTAATCCCAGAGTTTGAGAGGAGAGGCAGGTGGATGTTTGTCAATTCAAGATTAGCCTGGTCTACATAGTGAACTCCAGGCCAGCCAAGGCTGTAGAGTGAGACTCTATCAAAAAAAAAAAAAAAAAGATATTTATAGCAACATTACTCAAGACATTCAAACACTGGAAAAACTTCAAATATCTATTGAATGAGTAGTAAAATGAACTCTAATATAGTCATATGGTAAAATAATACTGAATAATAAAAATTAACAAATCACAATTATTTACAGTAACCTGGATGAATCTCCAGAAAAAAAATGCTGTCTCTGGCACAAAATTATTATTGGTGCTCAGTCTCTTTGAGTCCAGTGGAAATGCAATTCTTGTTTGTCTTCACACTTAAACAGTAGCAAAAGTGATGTGAGACTGGGTGGCAACTCTTCCCTTTGTACTGGAGAATTTCCCTTCACTGTTTTCTTGGGGGTCCTCTCTCTGGACTGTAGTCTTTGGTGGTCGCTCTTCAGAAAGCCTCAGTTACTTAAGGGTTCCCATGTTCCACAGTCTCTGCTGTGCATGCTGTCTTGGCTTTTAAGCAGCGCCGCCTGCCTGCCTGCCTGCCGGTCTCACCTGGGGAGTGACTTGCCACTGTACTTCCAGGTGCACTCTGCTAGATGTGTTGAGGCAAAGAGAATAATTTTTGTTCACAATCTCAGCTGGCTTTATTTGTTTGGAACTTTTTTATACCAAGATTGGATATGTCTTAAATAGAGGGGCAGCCAAATCATTTGGGTCACAAAAAGCCTCACAGCTTAAGCCTGGCAGAGCTAATAAGGCCTAGTAAAGAATTGTTTTAAGGGGGCTGGAAAGATGACTCAGCAGTTAAGAGCACTTGCGACTCTTCTAGAGGACCTAGGCTCAGTTCTCTGCACCCACATGGCAGCTCACAACCGTCTGTAACTCCAGTTCCAGAGGATCTGACACTTTCTGGTCTCCTCAGGCACAGGGCATGCAGCTGTATAGGGACTTACATACAAACCAAACACCCATACACGACACACACAAACACACACACACACACACACACACACACACACACTAAGAATTGTTTTAAGGAGAGGTGTCTGCTCTGAAACTCCTAAGGGAAGTCACCTGCAGTACCTCTCATGGCATTGCTACTTGCTTAACATCTTTTAGAACAACCTGTGCACTCTTTGTCTTTCCTCAGTACTGTCCAAAATTAAAACTAGACATTGAGGGTTAGAGAGATGGCTCAGTAGTTAAGAGCACTTGCTGTTCTTGTAGCACATGGAGGCTCGCAACCATCCACAACTCCAGTTCCAGGGAGATCTGATGCCCTCTTCTGACCTCTGAGGGTACCACAAACCCACATGGTGCATATACATTCATACAGGCAAAACACTCACAGATATAAAATAAATAATAAATCTTAAAAAAATGAACAAACAACTAAAATTAGACATCGAGAGCCGGGCTACCTGACTCCCATTACCAGCTTCTTACTTGGGATGCAATAATAGGATAGATAATATTAATATCTCTATGGGGTCTGGCCCCTAATACCATACACATAAAAATTAATATTGCAGTGTAATAATTTGTAAAAAAAAAATCACAAAGGCAAATTTTAATATCTATAACCCCATAACCCAGAAATAACCAGTATGTCTTGATAGAAACACCTATGAAGGTATTTATATATATCTAGTTGTTGTTTTTTTTTTAAACACCAGAGCAACTGTGAACTTTTTTCTAATATTTGTGTGTATCTGCAAGCATGTGTGTGCATGGGAATGCAGATTTCATCCTCAGGAACACTGTCTCCGAGACATGGCCTCTCATTGTCCTAGAGCTCACTAGTTAGGCTAGACTGGCACATACCAGGGATCTGCCCATCTTTATCTCCCCAGCACTGAACTTTCAAGCATAGGCACTGTTCCCTGAAGTTTTATTTGAGTTCTGGGGATCACACTCAAGTCCTTAACTTAATGTCTCCTGCTCCTCAAACTCTTGATCTTCCTGCCTCAGAACCCAAATGCTGGGATTATGGTGTGTGTGTGTGTGTGTGTGTGTGTGTGTGTGTGTGTTTGTGTTTCTTTTTTTGTTCTGTTTGTTTGTTTGACAGCATCTTGATACATAGCTGGGGTTGGGCTGGCATTTATAGTGTAGCCCAGGCTAGCCTTTAAGTTGCAGCAATTCTCCTGCCTCAACTTCCAGAGTGCTGGGTTTGCAGGCATGTACCACTGTGTATCTGTTTTGATAGCATACTATGCATTCTCTTCTTGTGTTCTGGTGCTAGTGCTCAAACCCAGGGCCTTCTGCATGGTAGGCAAGCATCCATCACTGAGCTACAGCCTTGTTGTGTTTTTTTTTTTGTTGTTGTTGTTTTTGTTGTTGTTGTTTGTTTTTGTTTTTGAGTGGGGTGTCACTCTGTGGCCTTGAACTCTCAGAGAGTTACTTGCTTTTGTCTCCAGAGTGCTGGGGTTAAATGGGTACACGACCTCTCCCTGTAAGTTAAATCTTTTTTAGTTTTTACATCCTTTTTAAAAGGAAGGCTTTAGGGCCCTGCAAGATGGCTCAACAAGTAAAGACACCTGCCGAGTCGGGTAGCTGAGGTTCCCACGTGGCAGGAGAGAGCCATTCCCACATGTTGCCCTCTGCGCTCCACATGCACATCACACCATGCCTGAGCACATCTGTGCACAGGCACAGATAAATGGAGAGTTGTGGTTTCTGTTTGTTTTCCTTTCAAATACTGCGTGGTAAAAGTTTAAGAGAAAATCAGGGTAAATCAAATCAAGATTCCTGTCTCATGAGTTTTAAAACATAGGTGCTGAAAAACATTCTGTTATTTGGATAAAATAATCTTAACTTCATTGCTTTTTCTTCCTGCTCCAGTTGCTGGGCATATTGGATTCTCCCCGTCGTGGGCGCTATTCTTGTAGGTTTCCTGTATCGTCACTTCACGAGCGACAGCAAATCCTCCTGAGGAGACCGTGCTGATGTGTGGGAGCGCATGCTCCAGGGAGTGAGAAGTAGAGACTGACTTTGGAGGCTGCAGCAATGCTTCCTCCTTGAATCCTGCCAGTTCCCTCACTTGAAGCCAAGATGGTTGACCAGATGTCTATCCTCCTTCAATCTAGGACCAGGGTCCTTGCCAGCCAGAGCCTGATGCCCAGAGCAGCTACTCACATTGTGTCCTTGCCAGGGTTTCTTCTCACTGGCTTCCACTTGTTCCCTTCATTTCAAGAGTTAATACTGATGATTAGAGTTCCTATGTTGTATTGGCATGGCCTTTGGGGACAAGATATGATTTCTGATACTTTGAATTTGCATTAGATATATTTAAGGGGACAGTACTCTAGTTTTGAATCTTTTCCTGTTTTTCTTTTAAGTAAAATTTTTTTTTTAATTCTGATTTAATTTTGTCATTATCATAAGGGGTTTAATTCATGAAGTTAAGATGTGTCTCTCTTAGTTAAAACATAGCTGCCAATCATCTTGTTTATGATTATTAAAAGTAAGGGGCCTGAAAGATAGATCTTAGGGTAAAAGCAATTGCCACAAAGCCTGATGACCTGAGTTTCATTCCCTGGACCCACATGGTAAAAGGAGAGAATCAATTCCCAAAAGTTGTTTTCTGACCTCTACATGGATGCTGTGGCCCTAGTGTACATGCACAGGTACACACTTTTAGACATAACACACACAGGCACAGGCCAAGCACACATTAAACAAATGTAATTTAAAAAATATATTCAAATATTAATAATAAAAATTAAAAAAACAAAAGGACTATGTGGTTTTCTCCCTCCCAGATAGTGTAGCTGATGGCACCTCCCGTCCCTAAGTCCAGACCCTTTCTTCCCAAGAGTACTTTATAAAACTCTGCATCCCTTTGTTTCTTAGGTGTAGAAAAGCTGAAGAAAGGGACCAGTGAGTTAAGGTGAATTCAGAATAATCTCTTTTAAAAAGGGAACATAACATCGCTTACAGGACAGTAGTTTAAAGAAGCGAGCGACTTGCTCTCTCTGCCCGACACCAGTTTCTGATAGTCTTCCACCCTGGCTGTCTTTACTGGGGAAAGATGAGTGTTACCCTGGAGCTTCCCTAAAGCCTGGGATTATGTCTGTGGGGCTTCACAGAAGGCTCTTGCTGCTTTTCTGTTTACCCATGAACAAAGTTTTGATTCCATGTTTTACCAAAGTAAGAGACTCAAGTTTGGCCTTATCTCGGTAAAATAACTAACATATAAATGTCTTTGTCGGGGCATGCCGCTTCAGATCGGTAAACATTGCCAAGAGACTTCTGTTCTCGTCTGTGGTTTACCTCCATGGCTCCAACTTGGTGATCTTGTTCTACTTTTCTTTTGAGGATTATTATGATAAGTCTGGAAGCTTCCCCCCTCCCTTGGATATGAATTTCATTGGAAAAGTAGTTAATCGTTTAAAATTACTGTTTCTCATTGGCCCAGGCATTTTCCTGGCATCTTTGACTTCATTCTTTTCCTGTGGCGGTACCTGACAGTTTTCCAGCTGTTTTTTACCCATTAGCTATGATTTTCCAGCACATCCTTTGTTCATTACCAGTCTGCTTCTGGGCTGTTGTCACATCCAGCAGGAAGCCATTCAATTCTAGAAGGACCAGAGATGCTGGGAAGTGTCTCCTGCCTCCCTTCCAGCTTGCCAGGGGCTTGACAGGACAGGAAACTGCACATTAAACCAGTCTGCCATGCAAACTATTTAAGAAAAAGTTCAGCCCAGGACTTCTATCCTATGATTTAGCAGTTGAATGAATTCAGAATTCATCCAACTAGCATTAGCCTTTTCCTTACATACTTGTATATGATATTTTAGAGTAACTTCTAGATGACTTTTATATATCAGAGATACAGACTTGAACTTTCTCTTTAGAGATGTCTATGATATGATAGATTGAATAAGAGTCGTCATTCTATAACAAGTGGCGTGACTGAGTACGCCTCCACTTAAAGGTGAAGAAGGCTTTGTGCAATGAGGCCTGGAGTCCACTTCTGGGCTAGCCAGGCTACATGGAAACAACAGAGGCACACGGAGGTACAAGAAGGGAATGTTCAAGCTGACACTAAGCCTGAAGATCACTTGGATCAGTTGTGAATATGTTGGCAATCGGCTTTACATCCATTGAAAAATTTCTGGTTATAGGAAATGTTAAGAACTGTTTTTGGCTGGGCAGTGGTGGTGCACGCCTTTAATCCCAGCACTTGTGAGGCAGAGGCAGGAGGATCTCTGGATTCAAGGCCAGCTTAGTCTACAGAGCAAGTTCCAGGACAGCCAGAACTATATAGAGAGACCTTGTCTCAACACCCCCCACAAAAATGAACTGTATTTTTTAAGTAAAATTGGTGTTTTGATATTTCTATGGTAAACATCAATACAAAAATCGCGTTTTCCTGCTTCACATCTATGTCCTCTCCCTGCCTTTATCTGAGCTTGTTTCTTTTACTGAGAGCCAGAAGGAAAAGATTTTCATACTTTTGTCTTTGCCATTTGTGAAATCCATCTAATACCCAGGGCTTCTTTTGAACCACTGATAATGTCATGTCATTTTATATTATAAAAAGTTGCTTTTTTTTTTTTTTTTTTTTTTGGCCAGGCATGGTGGTGCATGACTTTATTCCCAGCGCTTGGAGGCAGAGGCAGACAGTTCTTGAGTTTTAGGCCAGCCTGGTCTACGTAGCAAGCTTCAGGCCAGCCAAAGCTACATAGTGAGACTGTCTCAAAACAAAACAAAATCACAAAACCCCTTTTAGGTCTGTCTGCTCTAATTCTGTTGCCTACAGAAACAGCTAGGGGAGGAGGGAGGTCTTAGCTGAGAGTTTGTTAAGGCTTTTCCTGAACAAAGCAATACAGCATGTGCACCAAACGCATTAAGAAAGACTGAACTTGTTAAAGAAGCCTTGACATTTGTGGGTCATGCAGACTGTCCCTGTTGGCTGGCAGTACCCCCAACTTGTGGGGTGTTTGGTTGTTTATTCTTGAAGTGGCCCGCTGCCACCAAACACAAAAGAGGGAATTTGTGCGACCGAGACACACGGTGTTACTGCCCATTCTCTTCAAGTTCCTACCTGGCCCTGGGAGCTGGTGTTCCTTTCTGCATGTGTGTAAAGAAAGTGACTGCATGTGTGTAAAGAAAGCAATGGGACGCAGTTTATGGGCTGTGTTTACAACTCCTTGTGTGATTACTTCAGCAGAGTCTGTCCAAAGCTATCGTTTGAGCTATGGGCTCTTTGAGCAGTGCCACTGGGGCTGATGGTGTTGGGTGTGTGCTCATTTCGTGCTGCTGTGGAGCAGAGAGAAGTGCTTTTACAAGACGGATGTGTCATCACGTGTGGCACTCACACTTCATCTCAGGTGATACCTGTCTGGCTGAAGTCCACCTGGGTGGCTGAAGCAGAGCGTGACTGTTGTTGCCTCCTACCCCAAGGGAAATGCACCCAGACATGGCATGTCTCAACAAGAAACTGAAGTTTTAAAGCTGTGCGATTCAGTTGCCAGATAGCGCCAAAGTAACGGAGAGCTCCGTCATATTTGGCCAGCTCTGGAATTTGTGGGGGTGACCTAGGAGGGGGTTTCTGAAGAAGCAGAGACGTGCCAGTCACCTGCCTTATACCCAGTGTCTTACTCAAGAATTTCAGTGGTCACTCCTTGCCCACGCCTGTATCGCCTACACCGGCTGCTTGGGCAGAACACCGTTTCAGTTTTTTAACTTGCTTTTTACTGCACCCTCCACTGTGAGTAACTAATATTGACATTCCTTCTGTGTATTCAGTGATGGAGTTTGTTTACCTATTTGATTTCAGCTTATTTTGAACAAAGATCTTTGTCTCTTTCTACTGGAATGTGCACACAGTGAATGTTTGTTAGAACTACACAATAAAGATACTGTTTTCCTTTTCTTGTCCTGACTACAGTTGCTTTTTAAATTAAAAAATCCGCTTTTTTTTTTTTTTTTTTAAAGAAATGTTGGTGCTCTACTTCTCAGGTATTCTGAATGAAAACAGTTGGGGTGCACAAAGTTCTGTATCTCTGCCAACATTTGTTTAACCTAAGTTACTATGGTGTGCTGTGGCTCTCCGGGGTTCTTTGTTGGAAGTGGATCTCTCATTTGATAGTTGCAAGTTAACAGCTCTCCAGGTTCTGCCATGTTAAGAGATGGGAGTAGGAACCAGAAAACAATTTGGAGTTCTGTTTCTACTGGTGAAGAAAAGCTAACACGAGGTAATTTTTATTATCTGCAGTGCTGGGCCTCAAATGACTGTTTTTCTTGGAACCAGCTAAACTGTTGGGGAAATTTAAAAACAGAGGTTGAGGTTCTGGTGATTGTGTGAAGGAAGGGAATAAACCGTTTTTTATAATTACCTCTCTCACAGACTGATAGCTTTCTAGCGTGACCAACATTAGGTCAGAGTAGATCACTCATTAGGACCTGGTGATTCCACCGTGGCAGGAATCGGGGATTAGTGACAGGAAGGGATAGCCCCATTCTTATGCCAGCCTTTGAACCTCGTGTCTAATCTCTGATGCTAATAAGAATTCATTATCAGGCCCTCTTCCTGCTGTTTGGCAGATGCGTGACAAATCTTGCTTGATTCATGATAATCTGAGAAGGCTATGATTCCATTTACAAAAATTTAGGGTAAGAAAACCCTACATAAAGTCTGTAATGGGTAGCAAACATCTGACAGCATTTAGCTAAACAGATGTCTGTTCTGTGTATTCAAAGCTTGCTCAGTCAGCCACTTTTATGCTTGCTTGCTTCTCTCTCTCTCTCTCTCTCTCTCTCTCTCTCTCTCTCTCTCTCTCTCTCTCATTTTTTGAAGACAGGGTTTCTCTGTGTAGCCTTGGCTGTCTTGGAACTCTCTCTGTAAACCAGGCTGGCCTCAAACTCAGAGATCTGCCTGTCTCTGCCTCTCAAATACTCGGATTAAAGTCGTGCACCTCCACTGTCCAACTTGTGCATGCATTTTGAAAACTTAATTTTTGAAGCTAGAGATATGGCTCAGCAGTTAATAGCACTGGTTGCACTTCCAATGGACCTAGGTTCAAGTCCCAGTACCCACATGACAACACACAATCCAACATCCTCTTCTGACCTCCACAGTCACTGTTCATAGGTGACACACAGACATATATTCAGACAAAACACCTATACACATAAAAGAATATAAAACCAGACGATCCCTTTATAAAGCACTGAAGAGAGACTTAAATTGTTTTTCTGATGAATTATGAATGCAGTTGCAAAACTTTGTCACTTACGTGACACCTGCTGTGTGTCACCCAGTGACTGATGGCTCCATACATTACTGACCTTTAGTCCTGCTGTAGCTCCCGAGTGAAATGGGATGTCCAGGTTTCTCAGATTTTACTATTGAGTCAGAAAATCATGGGGGTTGGGGGCAGAATTTGAGCCTGGCTGGCTGGGGTTTTGTTTTTGTTTTTGCTTTTTCAAACAAGGCCTCACCATGTAGCCCAGGATGGCCTCTGAATTCAGCATCCATCTTCGGCGTCCCTAGTGCTAAGATTATAAACTGATGCCACCACCTGTTTCTGTAATGACAATAGGCTCGAAATAATGTTCTGGTAAAACAGATTTTGTTGTTGTTATTGTTTTCCTGGCGCTGGGGATCCAACCCAGGGCTTTCATACATGGTAGGCGAGTACTCGACTACTAAGTGGCATCTGCCGCACCAAAAGTGTTTATTAATTATTAAACGTCTTGCTGTACACCTAAGCTGGCCTAGAACTCCAGCTCGCCTACCTCACACACTTGGGAGCGTATGGTTAAAAAGTATTCAGATATGCAGGTATCAAGGAAATGCCTCTGGCTATCCAAGTGAATGCCTGTAATCTCAGAGCTTGGGAGGTTGGGGCAGGCTTCAGAGCAGAGATCCTGCCAAAACAAACAAAACAAAACCTTCAAGCTGATGTACAAGAAGGATGTGTGTTCGGGAACTGTCCTTAGAATGGTCTAGATGATGGAGGAAAATCGCTGCGTGTGGGAGCACAGAGGAGCCC